ATTTCTTTTCTTCTAATATATATTTAATAAACCTATTATTATATTAAAATACTAATTTATATATTATTAGAGAGCTATATTCTAGGTTAGTTCTTCTTTTCTTATATTTTCTTTTAAAGGTTTTAAATACTTTTAAGATTTAATACTAATTTTCTTAAATTATACTATATTCCTAATCTTCTAGGTTTTTTAGTATCTTTATAAAGTATAGTATATATATTATAGAAAATTTAGAAATCTTAATATTATTTAGAGTTTCTTTCTAAGAGATCCTTCTAATTATTCTAAGGGTTTTAATCTTAGTTTTTTCTATTATACTAAGTTATTTTTTATCTTTTTTAATAAGCTTCTAATTCCTCTAGTTCTTCTACTTTTTAAACTATAAGTATTATAATAAAATATATCTAATCTTATTATAATTATAATATTTTTATTTTTCTATAGATTCTAATTCTATAGGATCTAAATATATTCTAAATTCTATAAATAGAATTAGTATTTATTATATTTCTTAGTTAAGTTTATTAGTTTTAATATAGTTTTAACTAATTTATTTATTTTCTTTTTATTATTATTATTTATATAGATAGTTATTAATTCTAATAGCTATTACTATATATATAGATAGATCTTTAAATTTATTTATTTTAAAGAGTTAATCTTTAACTTTATTTTTAAGTTTATTATAGAATATAGTTTTAAATAGCTTATTATTCTATTTAAAATATAATATAATTTCTCTAAACTTTATAATATATCTTAAAGTAGATTCTTTTTATTTAAATACTTTTAATTTCTTAATAGTTTATTATATTTTATCTATTTTACTAAAAGCTAAAATAAAAATAGTTAAAAAGTTTATATAGCTAGTAAGAATATTAATAGTTTCCTAGTTTTATAATTCTAATCTCTTTTTATACTTATATTAGTTTTTAAGATAAGTTTAAAATTATTTTCTTATAGTACTATTAAAATATATTCTTATAAATCTAACTTTATTTTCTTTATTTCTAAGCTTTATTAGAAAAAACTTAAAATATACTTAAAACTAAGTTTTAAATTTATCTAATTTATTAATATCTTCTAAAAAGAGTTCTAAAAAAGTTAGTTAAATTATCTCTTCTTAGTTCTTAGTATCTTTCTTCTTAAGTTATTTAATATAAATTATAAGTTATATAATAATTTATTTAATAGTTAGTTTCTTTCTCTTCTAAGTATTATTAGGTTTAGTAGAAGCTATCTTATCTTCTTTATTATTATATAGTAATTAAGATAAAGTAATTAGCTAAATAAGAGTTATTAATATATAA